ATGCGGAGGGTATTCGCGACACTTTCAATTCTACCACCAAACGAGGCTCACCGGATCTCTTCAAAGAACATCCGTCGGGTTTGCACAACACAGAAGCTAGGGAATCTCTCGCAAATGCTGTTTTTCCCGTTTCACACGAATCAGCCGTGCCAAATGTAGTGCCAAGCCTTGAGGCTGTCCTACGCCCCTCACTACACGGAGGTCCGACAGCCCTCTCAACGCTGGAAACAGATATTCGCGCCTCAATTCCGCCATGGATGATGCACCTAGGAGACACTGATCTTTGTGTAAAGCCTGCCAGACCAGATGGCGTGCATGACACTCTAGGACTGACTGTTCTCGGTGAACCGGCTTTGCCCCCCCCTGGCAATGATGAGCTCCTCCTTGCACTAGGGACCTGCTTGCCATCATCTGGAAAAACTGAGATAGCTGATAGTCATAGTTCAGCTGGACGAATCGGAAACAGCCAGACGCTGCGCCAGGAAGTTGGTTGTTGGGTCGCCGAAGTAAGGGCGCATCATACGCGGCTTGCTGAGTGTGCAAAAGCGGCAGGGTTGGAGTCAACGTCTAATGACATGCTCGCCTACATTCAACGACCATTAGGCCTGCACCTAAAGCGCGCTCTGCAAAAACAACTCCTATTCTGCATTTCTGAGTTGCCCATGCTTGCTCTTAGCGTCGAACACTTGGCGAGAGTTGTGTGCTGGCTTGGCGGGGTGCCCCGTTTGCAATCAGTAAACACACCATTTCCCGAACTCCTTGCCCTATTTTTACTATGCTTGGAAGAAGCGCCAGCAGCATTACACACGGCAGTCTGCTCTGATGACGAAAGGAGATTGTCGGTCTGAATATGTCAAGTTTCGCCGTGCACACTGTCTCCAGAGGCACTACTCTCGCCTTATTAGAATACGTATGGCTGCTTCTAGGTCTAAAGAGCTACTTTAGATCTGCCGTCATTCTACAACGCTTGACAAATGCGGCTTAAGCAGAACTCAAGATGCGTGCGCTTGCGATAATGCGCAACTGCAACTATGCCAGAATAGAAAGGTATTTATGCCCCCACCACACCAATAGAAAGGCCTTTCTGACGCTGCCGTATTACCAGAGTCGTCAAGGAACTCCTATCGTTTGGTTTAGTAATTTTGTCTTATTAGGCGCGTTGTACGTGCCCTCCTTTTTGCAATGAGGGAGTTTGCTTCCTCAAGCTAGCCCTGCCTTCACAGGAACACTTGCGTTTGATTAATCAGGTATTGAAGGTTCGTGCTATTGACGGGTCTGAGTGCCGTTGGGCTGTCCATTCAGCCAGTCACAGTTCGCTAGACATTGCAGCGCAGCTTACGTGAATGCAGTGGCCTGCTACAGGATATCAGGGGATGCCGGCAGACCTTAAGATCTTCAAAGTTCAGTACACTTTGGAAAGGAAATCTTGTACGTCTTCTCTGTTGTGGAGAAATAGTGTACTCATAGTGTGGAGGTGCTAGAATGCACTGAGAGGATAGTTTGGCCGACGCGTAACACCCCAAAGGACGTCCTCATCTTTCTGAGGGAATAGGCGTATCAGTGCACTCCTCGGTGAGGAAAACAAATGTTCTTACCTCTACATAGTTTGTCTGCTTCTTGTAAGCGTCATGCTACTGGCCTTACACAGCGTTTTCGGTTATTCGCAAGCAGCCTCAAGCCACGCTTTTGGAGAAACATTCACACAAGCAATATGTTGCTGAGCTCATATGATGTGAATTGTTGCAACTGGCAGACTTTAGAATGCGTTGTACATGATATATATCCAAAAAAGCAGTCGCCATACCCACCAGATCTATTTCCCTTGCTTGGGGTAAGAGCCGACGACCATTTCCCTTTTGCAGTCGTCCCAAGACGGAAGCCATCAAATAGGCTTTCCCCACATTCAACAAGCTCGCTGTCCTTTGCCCTCACCCTTGGTGCACCGCCTGCCAGCCCGTAAGAAGCCTAACATAACTGAGAATAAAGAGCAGGAAGCTTGTAGCTTCAGCGACGGCGAGACAAATCCACCTCCTCAGACTAGACTTCATAACCTGGCTACAAATACTGCGTTGGATAGACTTTGTGCTGCCTCTGATGGTCTAATGCGCAAAGGAACAGCTTAGCTACTACACGTGGCACATGCCTGCTGTAGTTAGGTACTGCCGCTTGTGGTCTAGCATTGAACACGGCTAAAAAACCAAACAAATGTGAATGCATTGCCTATAGTGTTGCAGAATGTTAAGGAAACACGGTTGTGGTTGCATGCGTAGGCCCCTTTCATCGCTAGTTACAGCAATGTGTGCTGCAACCCATAGAAGGCCGCTTCCTCCCCGAGCCACCCCTTGCCCATTGAGATAAGCTGCTCTGTAGGTCTATAGCCGGCATGGCAGCCGAACAGGCTGACGCAATTAACAGAGAGTAGGCGAAGTATCGATGGAGCGCTATATTGGGAAGTACCAGTCTGTGGACAAGAGAAGTCCCACAGGGGGCTCAAAGTTTCTGCGTTAGTAGTTCGTAGCAGCTCAGCCACCTAGAGACGCAGTCCATATCAGCCTAAGCCGCAGATAGGGACACGAGGGAGGAACTGATGCAGTTAGCCGAGATGGTGGGGAACTTGCGCATAAGGAATGACAAGGCTCACATTCGCCGCCCCCGTTAGGAAGAGAAAAAAGCGGTTGGGAATGACCCAGAAGCGGACCCTTTATATATTGGAGCTGTGAATGCCAGCCCTACCCAAACAAAGCTTAGAGGAGTTAACATAAGGAAGTCGGCCCTCGTCTCGCTTGAAGGTTGTATTCATGCATTAGGATTCCTTAAATAATCAGGCTGCTGCTTTTTATACTCAACGAAAGAAATGTTATGCAAAACAGCACGAACGTCGATCCTGTTTAGCGTCAGATAAAGCTTGGATCTGTCCGATTCTACGCATCTGGTTTGCTTCGTACACAGCCTTTGGCTCATGGCATGAACTCAGGACGCCGCTCAGTGCTGGCCATGAGCTGGCAACCGCGAACCATCCAGTGCCCGACGGTCAGCGGGACCGATCACCATTACGGCTGTGCAGCGTTCGACTCCCTTTATTCCGCTATTGTAAAATAAGTACACAATAATCAAGTGTAGTCGCAAGCTCAACACTCCTGAACCTCCTTGGTTTCCACCGGAAGATCATTCTGTGTCCAGACGTTGGGCGTACTTGTTGGTAGGCAGCCCCGTACGCCCCCAGCTGCAGGCTTCCATGCGCACCTTCAGCAGCTCCAGAATGTATGAAGAAAGTACAAAAAAAGGCAGGAGAACAACTACAACGATGACGTTCGGCAGGTACTTTTAATCCAGGCACCTTGTCTTCCTTGAATTCGCACTATCTGCGCACCCAGGGGGGCGAGCACCCGAAGATGCATGCCCAGCGTAGGAGACTGCGCTTTGCCGCTCTCTCTCGTCGACGTTTTGAAATGCGATGGCGCATCTCGTGCATTTTCCCACCAATGTTAAGATGCCACCACACCACCGGTGTTGGATCTCTTAAGACACTTCAGTGAATCACCCAGAATCCCTCGAACTCACCCCAGAAAATGGCAGCCACGTCCTTGCAGGAAGGAACACCTGGACGACACTCATATTGCTGACACACGGGTTAACGCAGAAGCCACAGCAAAGCGGAACATTACGTTAACTGGGCGGGTGACTGACAGCCCTAGTGGGGTTTTAGGATTGTTTCTTTGAGGCCACTCTTAGGAAGCCTCTACGTCCGCTACTTGACATAGAGGCGGCTAGCACTGGGCTGGCCATGCACAGCGCAGCGTGCATTTAAGCAGAGTAAAGCATTTTGTTGACGGCTGCTATCTAACGCTTATGCAAGAGCCTATATCGTTATTCCTTTTGCCTGTCCGCCGCTAGTCATTTTGCACTTTGTTATCTGTACCCCTCACTCAACCGATTGCTAGCCCGGAGAAGCCCCTGTCTGCACTAACACTTTAGACAATTGCTTTACTTGTGCTTGCGTCCAGCCTGCCTATTGAGGCCACGTAAGCGTTCACATACCAACTCCGGACAGACGAGCCTTGACGCCTCTGCGCCTCACCTGCGCCGTGCCTTCTCGACGCTGGGACCAAGACAGTCGGAGAGCCCACGGGAGATCATTTGCTTTCGCGGAGGTCTTATATTTTGTCTGCTGCGGCACACGACAGTTCTACGAACGACGACACCTGTTACACGCCCTCCACATGGGAAGCGCGCAAACGAGGAAGACAGGGTGGGGAGCGAAATGTTATGCGCACACAAAAGCAAATATTAGTCTCTACGCATACATGTGGGAACAGCACCTCAAAAAATTCAACTAAGAGACGCCTACCCACCCCACTCAATACCCACCAGACCAAAGAGGTCTACATCCTGCCAACACTTTATTTCTGTCATTGCATGCCCCACATCAGCATCAGTTTACGCATAGAGTAATAAAATACGTCCAGGCAGAATTTTTTTTCGCTGTAGCGGCAGATCCGTTGGGAGCAGCCTGCTATGACGCAAAAACGCCCGCGGAACGGTACACGCGCAACGTCGTAATGGCTAAGACTCCTGTCCAGTGTGGAAAACCACCCGTCTAACTCTGGATCAAACTCTCGGAAAGTGTGGCATTATTACCAGACTGTAGCTTTCTATCATAGCTGGAGCATGCATTTGTAATTTTCTTGGCGTTGCCAGCCCGTGGTAGGGGTGGTAGACTACGCAGGGCTGTCCGAGCTCACGGCCACGGGCCCGGCCAATGACACCCTGCTGCTTACCGCTGTTTGCAGACGCGTCAAAGTGATACATCTCGCACTCTAATGCTTTTTTGGTTCACTTCTCCTTCTCCTCCCTGATTAGTGTTTGCTGCTCTCTCCAGAGCACCACCGCAGTCGTGCAGCTTCAAGCTCTACCGGCGCGGGTGTTGTAGGTGAACGGCAACTGACCCATTCTCTCCGGTCAGTGCTTCTCCTATCCTTGAATTGTTTTTTGTCTCAAAAATGGAAGGCGCAGGAAAAGTTGGGGGAAAGGTGGGAGGAAAGGTTGGCGGTAAGGTCGGTGGTATGGGCAAGGGTGGTAAGGGCAAGGCCGGAAGCGGTAAGGGCAAGAAAGCTCCCCTTTCTCGTGCTGCTCGCGCTGGTCTGCAGTTTCCAGTAGGACGCGTTCATAGAATGCTGAAGAGCCGCATCTCATCAGAAGGTGAGGGAATTACGTGCCATTCCGTGGTGTCCGCTGTGCTTACCTCCCCCCCCCTTTTCACGCTGCATCTCTAAGTGGCCATGGCCACGCCATGATGCGCAGTCACAGGTTGATGACGCGGCTGTCGATTCGCTTTTCGTTTGATTATTGCCGTGCGGTTCCTTTTTTTAAGTAGTAGGGCATGGAGAATGTGAAGTTAGGCTTTCGTGGGAGGAACGCTCCCCCCTGCCCCTCTTGTTGCCTGTAGTGGAGGTTGTACAGTGTGTCTGGATATCGATGTGCATAGCTTATCTCGTGGTATAGATGATCACCCACCAGCGAGCTTGTGAAATTCTTGGTCAACACGACAATTGCTTTGCTGCGTGGGACCTGGCCCCTATACTCAACGGTGTAGGCTTAGGTAGACAGGGGGACGCAGTTGTGTAACTGTGTCTTAGTATGTTTCATTGTTTGGGGACACCCCTGTCTCACATTTTACTTTTTTGTTTACCTGTATTCTTTCGGTATGGCTGGCGTGCCTTTGAATGCTGCTACCATTGCTCACTGCGTCGGCTTCAGCCGTGCCATCATCGTTAATGGCGCTGTGTTTTTATTTGTGGACAGGTCGTGTTGGCTCCACAGCTGCCGTGTATGCCTCTGCTATCTTGGAATACCTCACCGCAGAGGTCCTTGAGTTGGCTGGGAACGCATCTAAGGATCTGAAAGTCAAGAGAATTACCCCTCGTCACCTACAGCTGGCGATTCGAGGTGAGATTCGAATGAGTGCCGATAGTCGTTCGCGTTTGGTATGTAAACTGATAGGTTCAAAGTTGTCTCATCTGTTATTTTCTTTGCAGGCGATGAGGAGCTGGACACGCTGATTAAGGCTACGATTGCGGGTGGTGGTGTCATCCCACACATCCACAGGTCGCTGATGACCAAAGGTCCCACCACGCAACCTTTGAAAAAGCCCAAGAAGCCAGAACTCGAGTAGTCGGGTGCCCTTTGCAAGATCAGTTTTCAGCCAGGCCAGAGGGCAGCAAGCGTTGCGTTGCCCTCGAGCAAATTTGTCTTGAGGAACATCAATTCACAGTTTCGGATTTTGGGACACGTACTAAGCTTTGCAAGGAAGCCCGCTGGTAGTTTCTCGTGTATAGTTGCAAGCGCGCCGCTAGATAAGTACTACGTAAGTAGTTTGAAGCAGGATTTGCATTCCGAAGTCCTTTGCAGAGGGGACGTAGCGGACCGGGAGCCATGTAGCTTGGGTGCAGTTTCGTTTTTTCGGGGCTTATTTCCGGAGTGGTGGAGAACGCTCTACATGAGCGCAAGCTGGTAGAATGGCAGCAAGCGGAAGCAGGTTCCACTAGGACAGGGCTCGAACAATTACTGGTTGTGAGAGGAGGAATATGCTGCTTACCCCCGCAATTGGCGGGACGCTGAGCCATGTTTTTGGCGTTTTTGCGGTGTGTTCATGGAAAGGGTGCCTGCCCGCGCTGGATTACCTCTGGCATACGGTTTGCAGCTCCGATGTAGTCTCTTTGCTGTGAGCTGCAGTGGTGCACTGGGCATTTTCTGTTCAACCGTATCAAGGGGTGATAATAGAGGCACTGACTGTGAGTGCTGTAGTTCGTTTGCATTCATTCCAACCCGGGCAACTGATGCACGGTACGGTGGAACTAGGATAAACGAAAGCTTTGCTCCCGCTACTGCATCCACAATGCTTGCGTGATTCAGTCCGCCCGCAGCACATAATAGTTTTGTAGTACCATAGTCCACCGCCTTGCTAGGGGCCGAAGCAGTTCGATGCGTACACTGGCGCTACCGCGTACACTGATGCGAAACTTGGTGCAGTTCCTACCTCCCCGGTTGCTTTGACTGAAGGCAGATTCATGACCACTGGCCTGCAGCATAGAAATGTTTTTTTCTCCTGCGGGGACGTTTTGCCACGGTGTCTGACAATTGAGGCCTTGTGACGTGAAGAGCTGACCTTAGCTCCGCGTTTCACCTTGCACCAACTGACTGGGCTCTACGCTCATGTTTTTGCAGCAACCTACCTAGTATCACAGATGTTTTTTAGCAGGGGTCGTGCACGGGCCCGATGCTGCAAACAGAAGGTGGCTTACAGCGCAGCTGAAATCTAAGACACACCCAAAGTGAGGGATTCTCTCCTCCGTTAAGGGTTGCCCTGGCTCTTGTAATTGAAGAAAGGAGAGTATAGCAACCGTTTCCCGTTTGCCTGTGGTGAACTCAGTCCTCACGAAGAATGATGCTTGTCCTGACTCAAGCGCGATCCACATTTTAGTATACTTCTTGGCCTACTAAGCATTTGGAAATGTTACTTGCATTCTTATTAGGGTGCTTTTATTATTAGAATTGTTTTATTCACAAGGCCCCTGAGGACTTCCCGCATGACAGCTATAGATTCCCCTGAGGTTTGCGAGGTTAATGCTGCGGGGATGCACGGCGATATATTCTTCTCCTTGATAGCTAAGGGAAAATTATGTTCGCGACTGCGCAGAGGGGTGGTGCAGAACTTGAAAAAATACTGGAGGGATTAAATCCTGTCTCCCAAAAACCGCAATACCGAGCAGCCAGAACACTTTGGGCGAGCCACACATCGATCGTATACATTACCAATGCTGAATAGGAAGGCTCTCCTAGATCTCTACCGTTGAAGACCGGCTTTGTCCAGAAATAAACGCAACTGTGTGAAAGCTGGTGAAGGTGAAAACTCTGCAGGGGCTGCACCAAGGTGTGCTACAACGCACAGGAGTCCGCCGCCTTTCCGCATCTTCACCAGGCCCTTGTACCTGTGTGCTGAGGACGCCCGGAAACGGAAAAGTAGGTCAGCTGCGTTGTGGGTAGTCTTAATGTTGAGTAGTTCATGCCTACTACTCGAAATAATTTCTTCATGACATCTTCACCATGGGGATCATTCTACAATGAAAGCTAGCAAGCTAAACCGGAGAACCAGCAGCCAAGGGTCCTACCCAACTTGTGGCGATCTTGTTTGGCTCCTTGCCCTCCTGCGTACTTCGCCGAGAGTGTGGAAGAGAACAGAACTCGCCTGGGTTTAACTTAACTACCGAGTGTGGTGTGTGGTTGCTATTTGTTGGCATTCCTGCGTCTCTTTGCGCGTCATTCGTGCACTACCGAGCAGGCGCAAGTTGTAAATGGGAATCTGCTGCTTCAGACGTGTGGAGGTGGCGGATAGCGACAATGTCCAACGTCGGGTCAGAGAACGGTGTTCCAGTATAACCCTGGAGGTTAGGGAACAGGACGGACGACGTCACTGGTTATTTAATAGCCAACTCTGCCCCAACAAGGAAGTCAAGCAACGTTAGTGAATTCTATCTTCCATGGCGCCGTACACGTTGCCCATACTTGTTCGTAATGATTTCTGCTAGGCCGTCATTTCAGGAGTTTTTGCCGTGGTCAAGCTATTAAGCGGGGCCGTGAAGTAGCAACAGATGGGGCCAACATACTTTGGGTCCCTGCCAGTAGCAATGCACTCCGAGAAACAATCAAGCTTCCAATGGTGATTAATGAACAAATGGGCCACTCCCCTGTCTGTAACTGAGCTTGAACAGTGGATGAAATGGAGATGCTTGCTGAGTCTATCCACAATGTAGGTGCTATTGCAGCCTCTGACTAGTGGTATGTCCACTGTAAACCAGCTGATATATACGTCGAGGTCCATTTAGTCACCGGAAGACTTCGCAGGAGAATGTTCCACGGCTCTAGCTGCCGAACGTATGGACAAATGACGACGCATTCCCCTTCGTAGTGGCTTACCCTAGGCCACCGAAATGATCTGGCCACCCGTTCCGCTCTATCTCAACCCCGTACTCTCTGCTTGCTTTGGCATGACACTACGGGATCTCCCGGTGATCGTGCATGCTGCACAAAAAGTCCGTATGCAACAAAAATTGGAACGTTTCGTCCACGCTTCGTCTGGGACATATTGCCGTCCATGTTGTATTGCGCAAGCCGTCGTCCGTTGCTCAGCTTGGCAAGGAACGCAGCTGCGTGACTACGTAAGGGGTAACAAAAAAGCAATTTAGAAAGAGTGAATCATTGCAGACAAGAGCCACCAAAAATAATACACTGAATGGCCGCCTTGGGGAAACTGAGTCGGCTGCCACGGTGGGGACCCCTTTGGCGTGCGTGCCTGTGAAATCGTTCTGCGTAAGCCGACATAGCCACCGAGCAACTCGGACATTATCGGAGTCTAGAAAAATCTTCTTCAGGTGCGTGAGGGACAATGGTTGATTTGGACAGTGAGGTGGCCGCCACAGAAGTAATGCCGGGACTCATTTGCTCCACGCCAACCCGCAAAGGCTCCTTCTCACGTACCTGATAATTCTGCTCACTTCCCGTCTGCTCACTTCCAGTGAAAAGGTGGGAGGTAGCCCCATCACAACAGCTCTAACCACTGCACCACGAGCATTGGCTGTTATTAAGAAAGATCCCTTCGATATCAGGCCGCGCGAGTACTGGAGAGCATGCCGCGTATCTGAGGCTTCCAGCGGTTTCTTCTTTGATGCCTACCAGACAGAACTCCTTTTGGTGGGCATCAAAGAAGAAACCGCTGGAAGCCTAAGATACGCGGCATGCTCTCCAGTACT